GCTCCAAAAAAGTGACATTTTTGCTCACAAAAAGTGAAAGTGACGATTTTTTTTGGATTTTCAAATTTAGTGACATTTTTTAAAATTCCCATTGTTTAAAATGCAGTAATTTTTTCATTCAATTACCAGCGTGTTTGGCCCCCATTCTCATCCGTTTTTGTTAGCCGACTTCCAACATTTGTGGGCCTCGGCCCTCGGGTACCTTACCATTCAAATTCCACTTGACAACCTTCCATTACACACATCAGAGATGAGCTTTAAGCCTTTAACATTTACCATTATTTTACTTTCCACTATTGCTCTTCAAAATATGATAGGTTGCTGGCACGTGCAACTAACTAATAAAATGCTATTGGTGGCAGGTGGAATTTTTTTAAAAAGTCGAAACATGAGCAATTCAACAAAGCGAAAAAACGATTACAGAGAACATACGTTTTCCATTTAAGCGCGTTGTATAACTCCTAACGTAGCATGTGCCATGTAATCGCTTAGTTGTTGTCACAGCGTGTCCTCTTCAACTATTGCATCTAGCTCAGCGACAATTTCGTCTTCTTCATCAGGTAGATCCATTTCAATTTCGTTGTCGTCTACTTTTTCGGCTCTACGAAAACTCTCATCCAGCAGACCGTTTATCCTCAGGAAGTTATATATGCCCATTATGGCCACGACCACAGCTGTTTGCGCTCTTATATTGTAAGCAAGCATTTGATCAAGAATCTTCCATATCTATTTCCAAACTCCGAACGCATGCTCAATAACGTTACATCATGATGAGTGATGGAAATTAAACCGCTCGCGTGCATTTCGAAATCGGCGGCGTTGTCCATCTGTTGCGTTGCCGAATTCTTGAAAATGATATCTAATATCAGAACCCTCATATGAAGCCATATACCCGGACATATGTGCGAACCCGAAGTCAACCAAGTAATATTTCTCATTCCCAGGTTGTGGAAAATTGATTCCTGGACTATGTACGACTCGGGCTAATATGCGATTGTCGTGGGTGTTCCCCATGGTTCCCGGTAGTACGAACATAAGACAAAAATTGAAATCATAGGGTCAGGACATTCTGTGTCGGAATTCCTTTTTTTTCCAATGTAATTCTCTCTTATATGTTGTGGTATAGCTTTTGCATACGTTCCGTCAATCGCACCAATGCAATCCTATCATTTTACTATCATATCAAGACAATTCTGATCGTCTAAATATTCGTCAACCGTCAATTAGATTACGAACATAACCTGAAATAGGGGATAGCATTCCACATGCAGATGATGGTGAGCTACACCTTCGTTGTATCCTTGGATCCGGTTTAATCATATTCGTCGTAAAAGCTATGCATGCACGCAGAACTGTCCTAAAATAATGACGATGGTCTGCAACGAATGACCGAATAGCATTTGCACTTGCCAATATCCTTTGTTGTGTACTAGTATATACAAGATCATTCTCTTGTTCGTGTATGTCTATGTTGGCATTGCTAGAAATATCATACTCGTCGCAGAGGATATGCAAAAAGTACATTAACATTGGAGGATACATCCTAAATTCCTGAAAACACGTTTGTGGATAAATGTGCATATTTTGTAGCATAAAAATGTGGTTGTATTGCATTATCGGGAACAAATACCGACGTGCTCTATTCGGTGCCAAATATTCTTGAACAATGCGCTCGGCTATTCGACAATATTGAAGCA